CTCGATCATCTCCTCATACTGGAATAATGTTGACCTCATAATACTAAATGGCCCGTGAATAGTACTAAATCTTTTCAAACATCAATATTAAATTGCCTTCAAATAGAACTAAATGTTTTCTGGACCTTGATTTTCAGCTGCTTCCAGACCTTGATTCACCCAAGTTGATTCTGAGCTTTCAGCTGATTCCAAAACCTGATTATGCTGTGGTTTCCTTTACTCTGGAATTTTGATTTGGCTGCTGCATGTTTCTTTTAAATTTGCTTATTTGAGCATTGCAATTTGCAACCTGAAATCAACCCACAAAGACCACCCCCCACAAGCAGCCCAAACCTTCAATTACTCAAGACCTCAAATCCGCCGACCCCACACCGTGGGGTGAGGCGTGACTGTCGATGTTAGCCTTAGCCTTAAGCCTTAGCCTTAGCCTTATCCTTAGCCTTAGACCTAGTCCTTAGCCTTAGACCTAGACCTTACCTCCCCTACCCCTCCGGACCCTTGTTGCAGTGACGAAATCCGGTTGGAATTCTCCGGGAAAGCGACCTGGATTGTCCAAGATTCTGCCATCCCAATTGATTTACATCTTGGGGCACCCTCTCGACCCGCGCGGGAAAATAAGCACGGTCCAAAATGGTCCTGGGCTCGAATCCCGGGCTGGTCGCGGCATGGTCCCGGCCAATGCCCTTGCTTTTTCGTAGATTTTGTCACGTTTTCTGTTGGTTTATGAGATTTTCAAAGGCTTTTCTGGCATTTTCCTAGGAATGCTCTAGGCTTTGTCTTTTTGGGTACCTGCTTTGGTGGTGCTGGGTTGGGTCTAAATTCTTGGGCAATGATATCCTTTATGGGGACGAGGGTTCAGCATTACGGGGTTCATGCAAGAGATGACGTCCGATGGTAAACCTGGGAGGTACTCAAAAAGTCGACTTTTTGGGTACCTGCTTTGGTGGTGAAGGGTTGGGTCTAAATTCTTGGGCAATGATCGGGGTTCATGCAAGAGCTGACGTCCGATGGTAAATCTGGGAGGTACCCAAAAAGTCGACTTTTTGGGTACCTGCTTTGGTGGTGCTGGGTTGGGTCTGCACTCTTAAGGCTAAGGCTAAGGCTTAAGGCTAAGGCTAACATAGAGCAAGGCTAGCGCTAAGGTTCTATCCCTTGGGGGTCGGCGGCTGCAGGCGGTAGCCTGGTAAATAGTACTAAACACTTTTGGCTGGTTCTTTTGGTGGTTTCCTTTACAAGTCCTTTAGGCTTCCTTTTGGTTGAAAAGCTTTAGCTTTATTGAAGGGCATCCTTTCTGGATTTCTGATTTGGCTGCTGCATGTTCCTTAGAAAATGCTTATTTGGGCATTGCAATTTCCAACCTGAAATCAACCCACAAAGACCACCCCCCACAAGCAGCCCAAACCTTCAATTACTCAAGACGTCAAAGGGTACTAAACACTTTTTGGCTGGTTCTTTTTGTGGTTTCCTTTACAAGTCCTTTAGGTTTCCTTTCCTTTCCTTTCATGTTCCTTTCATGTCTTTTCCTTTCAATTTCCTTTCATTGTCCTTTCAATTTCCTTTCATTGTCCTTTCAATTTCCTTTCCTTTCATTGTCCTTTCAAAGTCCCTTCTTTTCCTTTCCTTTCCTTTCCTTCAATCTCCTTTCCTTCCATGTCTAATTCAAATCAAGATTTTCTAGGATTTTTCTGGAAATCACATTATTTGGGGCCCACACTTGATCAGGGGGGGTGTATATTAATAAGAGGCCCACATTAGCTTGTCAAGGGGAGCAACCAATGGACGAAACGGTTCAGCAGCTCGTTGGACTGTTGGACTTCTTGGAGGTCGAGCTGCTCACATGCTTCCCATGCCGAATCTTTCAGCAACGACACCGCCAGCAAAGCTCCTTCGACTTCAGCGTCTCTGGGTCTCCTCTTGCATTGCATTTGGAAGAGCTCCAAGCGACGGCGAAAGCTTCTGTAGGTCTTCTGTGAGAGACCGTCTGAGCTTGGCGCAGCTTTGGCCAGTCCAGAACCTAAGCCACGGTATGGCGGATCTGAACTTCCTCCGCCTTTTCCACCATTCGCTGTAGGTCTCGGCGGTGATGTAGGAGGCTCTGATTCTTCATCTCTTTCTTGTTGTCTTCCTCCTCCAGCTCCTTTTCCGCTCATGGTGCCTCGCCGTACACGATCTTTGAGAAGGTGTCAAGCTCAACTAAAGAGGTCGTCAAACAAAAAGTTCTCCCTCGTCGACGGCAGAGAGGATCGTGATGGGCTCCGCTACCAATGCAAATGGATGATGTAGCGCGCAAGGTCTAGGTCCAAGACAAAGTAGAAAGCAAGCGACAAAGCGCGGGCGAAAACCTGCAACCTTTTGCAGGCGAGTCGAAACCCAGACGGTTCAAGGGCCCTAGCTTCGATCAAAGAAGCAACGGTCACCGGCACTATTCGCTAAACTGTCGTGACCGAATGCTTCACGCAATGATCCGAGTGATTGGATCGACGCATTGTGAATTGGTTGAGGTGCTGTCATTGATCTTAGTTGCCCCTGCGCGCTGATCCTTGTGCATTGTTGGACATTGCTTGTTGAGCGTTGGTCGGTGTGAATCGGGATGGTGCAGTTCCAGTCTGGGATGGACAAGCAAAAGGTTGGAGAAGGTGTTGCGAGGAAGCGTGTTGGTTCGTGCGGCCACCAAGGTGAATCAACGACGACATCTTGCAACCCGTTTGATAGCGATGAGCTGGCCGAGTTTGATCATGATCGATCGAGGCGTGTTGGTCAGACGGTCGTTGCCGAACGCTGCAGCCACTATGACACAATACTTCGCCTTCAAGTTCCCGAATGAGAGCATTTCTTCGCTTTTGGTTCGTGAAACCTTGTCGCACGAGGAATTCCAGGAAGCTCTCATCAGGTGATCCTGCAGACCAAGACTTTGGCCTAGAGGCCATACTTCAGCGCAAAGAGAAAGATTGGGAATCTTGGCAGTGGTGTGAGAAGCATGATGTTGGCATGACTCCCCGTGCATCTCCGACAGCCAGTCCTTGGCGCTCTCGAGCCTTTGCTGCGTCAGCTGTGGCAGAAGGCGAGGAAGAGGAAGAGCCAAAGCCTCCCACGTCAGAGTACGATGAGCTGCCGCAGGACTCTCCTCATGCCTCAGAACCGGCAAGGTCAGGAGCTCCTGTTGGACCCAAGTCCACACTCAGCAAATGAAAGTTTACCCTCCAGATGGGCACCCTTTGAGGTCACCCGGCTAGTCCTTTTTTCTTGCATTTTTGAAATTGTTTTGATCATAGTTGATCATATTTAAGTATAAAAGTGGCACAAATAAGATCTAAAATGATTAGGAATCACTCAAATAAGAATAAACATGACACAAATATGATTAGAAATGATTTTGAACAAAATTTCCCATCCACGAGTGGAGCCACGAGTGAAGTTGCAGTGAACTTGCAAACAAAATGGAAGTTCAACATTTCCTTTTACGATAAGTTGACAAGTCGAGCGACAAGTCAACTTACAAAACACAATGAAAGAAGTACTAAGTACAAACGGTTCCTTTACGATAATCGCTCCTGGCCTCGTTGAAAGTTTTTGAAACTAGTAAGTTTTGGCTGAAGAGCTCTGTGCTGGCAGGGATTGTGACAAAGTAAGGGTTTTGCAACTATTCAAGTATTGGCTCAAGGCATTGACAAGTATTTTTTTGAAAGTAGTCAAGTTTTAACTGTGCTGGCAGGGATTGTAAGATTATTGAATAGTAACTAGTAAGTACACTTTTTGCTGAACACAGTGCTGGCAGGGATTGATTCCAAACCCCAAAACACCTAAAAGGAAAGCACAGGGCAGAAACATGTAACATTGCTACATCTCGAGTGCCTTGAACATATACATATATAGCTGCATTGATTCTGTCCAGCTCCACGCAAGTTCATCATGGACGCCGAAATTCCAACACAACAAAATACTCCTGACACTGACACCCTGCTAGTGCGTTTAGAACATTCCGTCAACTGTCAAAGCACCTTGACCACATTTGAGTAGAATTTCTCGCACTTACTCAATATGGCTTGCATCAACACCATTGCTTGCAAACACCGTGGACAGCGCACTGGTCATTCAGTTCAGGCTTCGATGAGAGCCCACGAATCCTGACAGCTCCGAAGACATTTGCTTCATTGAACTTTTTAGCTCTATATGGCTTTTAGCATCCAGAACAACTTGCAACTGTAGAAAACTGTAGACTCTTATCAAAGGCACTATCAAAACTGGAACAAGACAAGAACATATTAAGTTTCCCTAAAGATCTGGGAACCGAATCATTAGTGCGAGCGCTTCTTCAAGCAAGCTCCCCCGCCGCCCTACAGAAGCTTGAAGGCTATCCTGCGTCCATATAGTACGTAAGCAGGTAGTCTCTACTTAATTGAGTAAGGAGGCAGGGCCACGTTCCAAACAAAACTAGACTCTATATAAACAAAACTAGATTCTTGTCATGCTGTATATAATCTCCTTGACTCTTTGTCACCCTTCACTTGGTCGTCTGGCTTTTGGGGCTTGGCCACCGTGCTGAGCATGCTGACCAAGAGGGAACTCATCCACGGATTGCCCCTCTGCCATTGAACTGCTTGATTCAGCTTTGGCTTCACTTTCTTTGACACAGGTACCATAAACATGAAACACACGAATCAAAAAGCTTTCCTCTCTCGCCACGAAAAAAACAACCCGAAGCTTCGAAAGCAGTTGCCAGCTGATTTGATCTGCAGTCACCCTCTAATTCACTTGAACATGGTTCGATCGGAGCTTGTGGGCCACCTTGAACCAATGGCTTGCAATGCCCTACAAATGTCAAATGTTGCTGGAAGCTTTGGCACATGCATCACAAATGCAGTAAGCAGATCCAGATTTGCACATCCCATCCTTTTGTACATTGCGCCCTTGCGGGGAGATCATTTGGCTTACTTGCGAGGCAATGCAACCAGGCTTTCGGACATGACTTTGCAACTGCCACGAAGCTCGGCTGAGCCTATTTACAAAAGCTCGATGACATCCAATGTGGCTTCAGACTTTCCGTTTTCGACCTTAAGTTCAAGACGTCAGGGCATTGCAGGGCCAACGGTGGTGGTCTATTTGCTGTGGCCACATTTGGAAATCTGGTACAATCTGAGACAAGTGGGCTGACGAAGCTTGCCACATGGACATGATCTTATTACAGTTTCACAGCTTGAATGCCAGCAAATCTCCTACTCGTTGAATTACAGTAGCTGAGTGGATAGCCATCTGGGTGACATAATCCTCAAGAAGTGGCTCGAAAAGAGGACGGAGGCGATGTGCTTTGCAGAAGTCATGGCACCTGATGGGTCAGGGCCAAAACACATCAGGAGCAACGCGAGGGCACTGCAGAGTTGCATGAATTCTGAGGCTGGAACGCTTCTTGTACAGTGTCATCGGTAGTGTACTCAAGAGATCCTGGCATTTGAGGTTGAAGTTTCATCCATGTGATCTAGAAACTCAAGAATGACTGCTCTCTTGGCGAGTGCAACATGCATGTTTTACCCAAAGGGTGTTTTGCACCACCTGAATGGTCATCAGTCACCAGAACATTCGATGCTCTGTCAATATCTTTCTATCCGTGTCACTCATTGGGCCTAAGTTCACATCAATCTTGACGATCGTCGTGGGACGGAAGGGCATCCAAATTCCTCACAGCTTCAATTCTGTTTCAGACTTCCACGTCTCGCCCACATGTCTGGCAGATTCAACATGATTGAACTCGTGCTGATGTACTTTCAGTCCTTCCAGTTGAATATCTTCTCCACCAGTGTCAATCTCCCACACCCAGTCTTTCCATTTAATCTAGCACGCCATGCTGCGCAGCTATAAACAACAAACCCAATGAACGAACCAAGCAGAAATGCTCAGAATTCTAAATGGATTGGGCTGCTGACAATCAGTTTTGAGTGTTGATGGCAGATGTCTCACACCTAAGAAAACATATGTGGTACCAAATAGTTTCGCGCATGGATGCCGCATGGATGCACAAATTATTTTGAAGAGAAACACGCGCTCTTGTGTGGCAAGGAGCTTAAAGTAGAACACACACACAGTGTGTAGGGTAAGTTCTTCCCTCTGAATCTTTTAATATGTACATGAGAGAGGGGGAGAAAGAAAGAGAGAGAGAGAGAGTCTACATGGTAGAGCCTGCATCTTCTACACAACATCACACTGTGTCTTGAACTCATGATTTGCCCATTTCTGCTCAAGACTGAGCGAGGTGTGGAATCACCTCCAACATCCTTTCCAAACCGGCCCTGCCCCAACCAGCTCAGCAACCCTTTCACTACCTTCAGAACCTTGCCCTGGAACCTGCTGCAAAACCTGCTCCCCAACAAGTTGCAGTGTATAAGCAAGTGATTCAAATACTACACAGTGATGTGGTGAAACATGATCCTACCCAACCCCCTCAAAGGTACTAGATATGTCAGTACGAAGTTCATCTTCTAAGTACTTAGAGTACCAAACAAGTGAGGTCTTCAACAGGTCTTTTTGGTTTGCCTGGCAAAGCCATTCTCTCTCTCTCTCTCTCCCTCCCTCCCTCCAGCGGACCTTTAGTTCCGGAGAACGACGGAGCAAGCCCACAGAGCCTGGCCTGAGAAAAAGTAGAAGAAAGTGACATACTCAGTGTAAGGTCTGGAAGCTCTACTTAGAAGCGCTACGGTAAAAAGCTTCCGTGTTCCATTCTGCTTTGGACTTCTAAAAAATCTTCTGGTCGCTTGCCAAAGATGCTGTGCAGTCTCCTTCGCTATCACCCGGTCCATCCATTCCTGCATCCTTCCATAACATCGCTCAAGTTGCAGTGTGAACTGTCCGTTTCACCTGGCACACGTAAAAGGCCTGCGACTTTCAGTGCGCGTGCTTGATGCCACTCTATTGGCCTCCAGCACTATGGACATTTTTGTATTGCTTCTCATATCATATATATTCAAAATTCATGTAACAGCAAGGCACCCTTTTGTCAGGATCACGTGCTTTTCAAAAACTTGTATATAAAACAAGTAACAACAGCCAGCTAGCGCTCTCTGTCTAGCTATGGCTGCCTCAGGCACTCTCATCAGCAAAACTTGCTGCGAGACTTACACAGACTTATGTATCTACCGGATCAAGATGGCACAAGGATCCCTGACTTGTGCCTCTCGTTCATCTCCTTCCCTGTTTTGCTCGACCTAGGCAGGGGCTGACATGGTGTCGATGACATGTGTGAGACATATGGTCTGACATTTCGCGCAGCGAGTGCATTTTCTTTGATTCTTTCGGCAATTCTTTCTTTGATGGCCTGTCAAGATCACGATCTGTCAAGCTGATCAAGGTACAAATCTGGCCAACAGCACGCCTCCAAAGCCTGCAGCCACGGCAATGTTCATTTTGATACTAAGCCGACACAAATCTTAATTCCATTCAGTTCCACACAATTTCAATTTGTTTAATATATGTATACATATATATATGTTATACATATAACATTGTATTATTGTACACGCATAGCATCTCATAGCTATGTAGATAAACCTAAATCGATCCGGAATCTGTTTCTTGCTCAGTGTGATTTCATGGTCTTACATCACACCAAGTGCATTGAGACACTTTTCTCAGTGGGAACTGGTAATAACAAACAAACGACATGCTCGGACGTGTCTTGTTGCATGCGCACACAATTCCTGGACATGCAGCATCTGACACTCCTGCCTTGCGTTGACGGTCTTCGCTTGCCCGTTCAAAGCTTGCAATTGCAGCACACAGCCGCTTCAAATCGATTTCGTCCTAGCGAAGTTGAATCCTTTGGGCACAAGCATTGTATCTTTCCATGCCCTCAGGCACTTAAAAAGAAGAGCACATGAGCACACATGTAAAAAAGAAGAAAATGATGTCTCCAACAAATTGATGGATGAGATATCAACCAGGTAGTGAAACTCCAAGAAAACAATATTGTCCTTCAGCTTCTTTCTTCATAGATTCGCACGTGACCACTGAATACAGGTAGGTGAGTGGAACTTTTGATCAGGGAACGAGTGCCTCCGTTTCAAGTTTGGCAGGCGTAGATGACTTCCCAGTCTGCAAATCCTGCACCAGGATCATAAGCTCTCTAAGTTCAACGAACTGCTTGACACCACTAACAAATGGGATTTTCAACACTTCCTCCTTCATTGCCCTTGCGGCCTCTTCCTGCTCTGCCCGACAAAACACGAGCAGTGGGATCGGAAGGTTCCTTTGACATACTCTAATTGAACTCAATGGCCTTCAGTATAATATAGCATAATTGAACCCGCAATCTTTTTGAGAACTCACATCAGCACCTGAGGTACAAGACTGCAGACTCGCTTTGACGTCTTCTGTGGAGTCATCGGAACCTGCCAACTTGAGGGACACCGGCCCTGCATCCGGTGGCATCCTACGTCCAACGAAGGGTCAAAAACCATTGGATGATACTGAAGGGTCCTAGAACAACTACAAGTTGACATGAGCTGCCTACCGAGTGGTTTGGTCCCTACTGAAAGGGACGATCATTATTTTTCTTTGTTTCAATTGCTATCACATGGTATCGCCAAATAGCTGCAATAAGAAGCGGAGATCTGCTTTTCCAACCGTAAGAGCTGCTGTGCTTTCCCACGCAAGTTCGGATATGTGAGCAGTGTTGTAAAAAATCAAGGATAATCAAGTGTTAGGCAAGGTTCTTGGAAGTGTGAAAAGGAGTCAACCCTCCGAGCTGTTTCTAAGACGAGCACACCGAGCTCGAAGCTGCTGCTGGCCGGATATAGTGCCTTCAGAGTCTGCAAATACGACAGCACAGCATCATAGGCTCTCTAAGTTCAACAAACTCTGAGTTCTAGCGTAACAGGCAAAGCAAATAGACAGTTGGGATTCAGCGTAGCCCGCCAGAACCCAGTCTGGGAAATGCTAGTTCCAATTCCTGTTGCTGATGAAAGGAAGAGAGAAGCTAGAAAAGAGGAGGAAAAGGACGTGAAAATAGAAGGCGCGAAGAACAGAAGAAAGGGACACAGATGGAAGAAAAACGTAAAAACACAGGCTCACCTAAAGCACACTAATGAACATAGACAAATTCCAGTCAAACGCCAAAAGAAGCCTTAAGTTTTGGATTCAATAAGCTCCACCTTGTTTAAGCATATATTAACTATTATGGTGGTTGAACGAACTTCCATGGCCTTCCAGGTTCACTCACTGTCTTTCGACGTTCTTCTGGGCCTCATTTGGATCGGGGGCTTGAACAGCCTTATCGGCCATCGGTGGCTTCCTCAACGTGGCGCCGGAATGGTGTTCAAATCGGTCAAACCTTGAAGGAGATAATACCCGGCGGCAGGACAAGTCTGGCGATGGACGTGGTTCCACAGGTCTGCCTGTGATTGGGCAAATCTTGATTGGGCCTTGGGAAATACGTCTCACGTCTCAAAGCAAATCTCGCAAGCAAAAGGAATCTCAGCACTGAAAACCGCGTTTGAAAATCCTCGAGACAACGGTTCATGTTGAGCCCAAGTTGTGAGCAAACTTGGCGCCGGACGTCCATCCCAGGGAGTTGACGCGTCCCAAGGTTGAGTCTCTGGACGCCACATGCTATTGGCCTTTGAGGTCAAACACACAGCAGCGAACTACTCCGGTCTGTTGCAATGCACTTACAGTATATATATATATAGATGTGTGATGAAAACTAGTTGAGACACTGAGAGGAAGGCATCAATGGTGAGCCGGAACGGCTTTTGTTGATCTTTGGCCTTGGACTCGAGGAAAATGGGCGACAGTTGCTTGATACACATTAAGTCACTAAGGCTGAGGAAAGAACATACGCCACTGAGGTTTTTGGTGTCTTGGTCACAGCAAGTCTTCACAAGACTCGCAAACAAATAAATTTCAGCAGGGTGAAGAGCCTCTCATTGAATTATGGGGTAGTCTTGCGTCTTGGTACAGTTGCGCTGCTAAGTGTGATGCAATATGAAAAACGCATCCCGAGCATCATTAATTCGTGGATTCTCTTTTGGTTTAGTCCCCATCGCTACATTCGGGCGCCTTCTAATATGCAAGGATGCAACCAGTATTTTTGATGCAATCTTTCCCCCTGCCCCGCATAAATAGGTTTTGTTCGACTGTTCGCGCCTCATTTTCTGCACGCTTGCCACGCAAACGCGCTTTGTCGTTCTGTACCAACCTTTTTCTGCGTGCCTGTGTTGGCGACCTGCGTTTTACAAATTCTGAAGTCAGCGGTTGTTCATTTTTCAATGCGCGGGGTGTAGGCTTTGGGTATTGCATGTGCAGGACTTCGGGTTTGTTTGATGTCTTATGGGGCTTTCTTGTTGCTATCCTTGAGCTGGTGTTCCATGTTTCTTGCCGTGTTTCGCCTTGCTCTGAGTTGCCATGTTTGGTACATACACACAAACCACATTATAATCAACAAACATATGTATATATATATATAGACAGATAGGTGCACATACAGTGTATAGACCTCATATGCTATACATGTCCAACGGGTAGCAAGGTTGACCCACGAAACTCAACCCACCAAGAAGCCACGGCTCCACACAATGAAGCAGGCGGGTGGAGTGTCGCAGCGCGCTACAGCAAGCATTTCCTGATCTTGAGAACCCACCGCGCAGCCGCAGTCATCAGTGATGCATGCCATGTCCCATACCTCAAAAACCTCACAGATAGTTGTTGAGGTTCCTCGCCTTGTCCAGGTAGTTTACGCCGCTACGCTCATCAAACTTGTAGTCTGGTGCCAACGTACTTCAAAGGAAGAGGACGTGACATGCTGATGTATGCCACGAATGTCTCAGCTCATGTCTCCCGGCCATGGAGCCATTTGGCATTGCCATCAACTACCAGACCAAGGCTGTGGCTTGGAATGGAGGAACCACGACGCAGGTCTTTGAGGAGTTTTCTTTGCCCAGCGTGCTCAGCGACTTTGCGTACAGTTATGTCATGGAAGAATTCCACAAGGTTTTTTGATGGAACTCTCCTTCAACTGGTTGAACTGGAACGCCGTATGGCCCGTGCGGCAGTCCTCTTTTGAGTCTGGTCCTGACCAATGACAAAGTTGACAACTTTCCGAACTGAGTCCAAGAAGGGCAAAGTGGCCGTCGTGATCGTGCTCGTGATCAGCTGTCTTTGTTGTTGAGCCAGGCCAGCTCTCTGGAGGTAGCGCCAGCCAACGCAGCAAGACGTCGAAGTTGCCACTCAAAGTTGGCTGTGTGCTCCTGCGTCGTTTCATGACGCTTGCTCTGCATGATTGCCATGAAGAAATTCTCAAAAAGTCCTGAGGAAGCTCTGTGATGGCGTCAAACTTGAACACGGGATCCAGCCTGGAGGACCTCTTTCATTTTGATCGCTCTCCAGAACCTCCATATGGCCAGATCCTCGCAAGTGTCCCAAGATCTGGCCTTCAAGCTGCTGAAGACTTTGAGCGCAGTCTCAGTCTTATGTCCTGCCATTCCATCTTCTTCTCGTACAGAAAGAGACGTTTTTCTTGAATTGCTTGTAGTTGGCAGCTCTGCATGGGAACTCGGGGCTCGGCTCATGAGCCGTCGATTGCCAGTTGTGATGGACAGGATGTAGCACCGAGGAAGTGGTAGGAGCGCTTGGAGTGGTCAGGATAACAAAGCCCAGAATTGTCACGAGGTGCTCCGCTACCAACAGGAGGTAGCAAGGCTGACCCACGAAGTTCAACCCGCCAAGAAGCTGCGGCTTCGCATGGCTTCGCACGGCTTCGCGCAACAAAGATCCCTGCAAAACAGGGGGTGGAGTAGCGCAAACTTATTGTGATCTCGAGAATGCGCCGCACAGCTGCGGTCGTGGTGTCAGTGATGCATGCCATGTCACATGATGTATTTCACAATGTCGACTTGAGGGCACGTGGTACAGATGTTCAGGACTCAATCGTGTCTTTACACTCCACCCTAGCTGGAGTTTTGGTGATGTCTTGCTCTTTAAGGTCTTGGGGCCCACTGGTTTAATCCAAGCACCTTTCCTTGCTGGCACGCTGTTTCAACATGGGGCTGCAAGGTCCTCAACATATAGTATTAAGAGAACGGGACAAAGCGCTGAGATCTTGAAGTTTGGGGAGCTGAACCTTTCTCAGTTGCGCAGCTTAACAAAAACTGTCCAGGCTTTTCAACATGTTCCAACTATCACAAGATGACACTTTACCCCCCTAAACTTCGAAACCGTCGCTGCTCGTCGGTGCCGATGCGCAATTACCTATGCTTCAGCGGTCTGCTGTTGAATCTCACAAACTGAGATAAACATTCCCATCTTGGCAACTGAAGTTGTAACTGAAGGAAAATCTCAGGATTGCACAGGCTCTGGGGGCAGGGCTGGAGCCCGCCATGTTAGAAAGGCGAAACAACCGCTACACTTCATGGCGCTGGCGGAGTTCCCACAGTGCCACACAATGGCCGCGCAAAGTCCGGAATAGAAAACAACACACCACGCTCACAAACGGTCCAAGTTTTGCGATTTCTGGATGCTTGGTGAGCCAACACCGGCGATCAGTGTCCATGGAGGTGATATGTTATGCAACATTTCAGACAAAATGCTCCGCAGTAAAATTTACAAGCTCAAGCTCATCCGAACATTTTCCCATGGCTCGCCTGCCGTGAAGGGGATGCACTCTCCTGGCCGTGCAATTCATGCGGAAGAACCAACGTTTCAACCGCCAGAATAATCCAAGGCGACATGCTTGGCTGTATTCAGACTGTCGGTCAGTGATGAGAGTGAACAAAACCACTTGGGCCTGCGGGAAAGGTTGGCTTCGACTTTGCTACACTCCATGCGCCTTTACGTATTCTTGATTGCACCAAGAAACGTCTTCTGCTTGGTGTGGCATGCATGGCTAATACAGCAAAAACATCAGCAGCAATCCTTTGGAATTGAGCGTAAAACCCAATTTATTAAACTGCATTTTTGTATTTTGATAGATGTTCATGGATGTTCTATGTACATTTTCATCTACACCATACTAGGGATGGACACAACAACTGTCCACGGTGCGTATTATGGCAGCAAATCAGCAAATACAGTAGCATCGAACATGACGCAGACCGTGGGATCCCATTGAATGCAGGTCTTCTCAAACATCGGGTCGAGCCAGGCGCCAATTACAGAATCCAAAAGGATCGAAATTCAACTGCTCAACCGCTTTCTTGACTGTTGAGCGGAACGAGACACGACAAGCCAAACATAGCTGACTTGGGAGAGGTGGTGAGCTTGGAACTCTAACAGCTACCGGGAAATGGTAAAGTAATCCAATCAATCATACAATCCATATTTCGGATCCCAACTGTTGGGGTATCAGAGACCTCCACACCCACACCCACACCCACACATGCATATCTTCAGAGTGGTGCTCCGTCCTTCTGCGCTTTGGTCATCTCGTTCATGCTCCATCATGCCCTGTCTCCTAGTGTCGATTGCCTTGGCAGCATCAAATCGCAGCTGTATCTTCATTTGCAACACCGTCTAGAAGATGTATACATTCTTTGCTCACACTGAAAGCTACAGAAGGTTCAAGCTGCTAAGCTGCTGGCCACAAATCGTCTTTTGCTGCACGAGCCTCCTTGCACATACACTTATGATTTAACCCAACTATCTCTGTGAGGACTCGAACCTTTTGAAATCTGCGCACAAGCGAAACAATTGCTGGCGTTTATGGATCGTAACATACGCATCCGTCGCGGGCTGGAGGCCCATAGCCTACTCACCTGAATCCGGAAAAATGGAACAAACAATGCGGGTCAGTGATCTTGCTTGAGGAACTTGGAGCAATTTGGAGCCGGAGATCACGGAACTGAGCGGATAAAAATGCAACATACATAGGCGCAGCAAGGTTAATGATGTTTCAAGTTGCCCAAGGCAGGTTTCCCAGGTTCCACAAATCTTTCCCAAAAGCCACAAACCCTCTTTTTCATATACATATATTACATAGTTATACGGTATACGACATTGCGAATATGCCTAGGTGAACCAACTGAACACCACCCGTGCACCTATGGAACCCTGTCCAACCCTTGTCCTTTTCCTTGGTCTCAAGTCACCTCGAACCCTCCCACCCTTGGACTGGCGCCGTGTGGGTCAATGCATTGAGCATTGGAACGGCCGGCGAACTGCACGTTTCACATCCGTCTTATTTACTAGCTTTCTTTTTCACTGCTATGTTTTGTACTCTCTTTCAACCAAGCTAGCCTGTTTCTACGGTCGGATCGTGCCTTCAGCGCCGCCGTCTCATCGAAGAGGCTATATCGCCCCTCTTCCAAACACTGACGCAACAAGGTTCCCTCCATAGCTTTCGTTAAACTGTCAGCAAGTTGAGCCTGGGAACTCACCCACCTAAGCTGGCAGTTTTCCTTCAGACGTTCCCTAATCAAAATGCACTCTAGGCAAGTTCTATATTCCTCACAAGTGGGAGTAGAAGTCTTGGTAGCTACATAAAAACAGATTTGCAATCCGTCACTATGGAGGATCTTGCAATCCGTCACTATGGAGGATCTTGGAGCTTTTTGCAGCATCACTTCGGGCTCCATGATGTTGCAGCTCGGGTCTTTCAACCATTCCCAAAATAAACGGAGCCACGAAAGTCTATCCAAGGATGCACTGAGTGAAACTGCTTCTGCTGACAAGGTGGACCTCGCAACTCTCGGAATCTTCTTTAAGGACCAAGCCATTGGACACACTACTCCTACTTGGTTACAAGCCAAACGTCCATCTGTGGTGAAGATTATCGTTCCTTGTCGGGATGAGGTGTCCTTGTTTGTGGTAAAAGAAGCATCACTGAGCCCCTTTTGAGTGTCTCTGACGTCGGCTTCAATGGACTGCTCATGGAGAGCGGATCGATCTGGGCCCACTCTGTCTCGGAGCTGGTTGCTGGTCCTGGAGGAACATTGCTCGGGAGTTTTCCCGAGCTCATTGCAGAATGGCGATGAGCATGAGTCTTCGGCATGATGGGCCCTTGCAACATCTCCTGAGACAACTTCTTTTTGCACGCCTTGACATAGTTCTGGAAGCTGAGCATGTCGACAGACGTCAAACGGGTGTTGTGCAGAATGAACTGAGCATACCCGCTGTCTTTTTCGCAGGTCTCTGCAAAGGTCTTCCCCTTGTGCTTTCCGGAACTGAAAGTCTCTTGTCCCCATTGATGGAGATTTCGAATCCCAGCCGGCACCTTGTACTGGTATGTGTGCGGCTGATGAGTCTCTTGGACTAGAGCTGCGTCCTCTTCTCCCGACAAATCGTCGAGCTGGTGCTGCGGAACCGTCTTGCGCAGTGCCATGTCGGGAAAGCGCAAAAGAAGTCGAGCTGGTGGTCGTCTCTTGATCTGTCACTCTGGCTGCCGAAAATTCACGAGGATCACGAATTGCTGGCTGCTGCAAGTCTGTGGTTTGTAGCGAACTTGTTTGTCTTTCTTCGTGGTTTGGCTCATTCTCAAACTCAACATGCATGTCCGAAGGTGGTGAGTGAGTGTTCTCTTGTTTTGTCGTTTCGTCTATCATGTGCAAACAGTTGTCCCCTGTGCCATCATGAAATTGGACGTTCAACAGTTCTCTAACTCTTACGCAGTTGAGTTTCCGTCTTACCTGCCTCAACCTCAAAACATCTTCACTTCCATGAAAACTCAAACATCCCAGATGAACATCCAAAATACCCTTCATACCTTCAATGACGGCGTTAGATATTAGGAAAGGAGTGCTTCCGGGCACGATCTCAACGCGGAGCCAGCCTTTTCCAAGTCGTTTTAAAAACAGTGCCTCTTCACGGTGGAGCAAAACACTGTTGCCAAAGCGAAAAACGCACCTAGATGGACCACGCTGGATTTCAATGCCCTTCAAAGCCTTTTCCAATTGGGGGACCCTTTCACTACCAATAATCGTTCGGCTTGCTCCGGTGTCCAAAATAGCCTCTTCACTTGATTCCTCTAGGCCTCGTCTGGCCGGGATGTGAGAGGTCTGATGAATGCAGAAAGACTGGCTCAAGCTTTTCGCTTCCTGCGTCCCGGCTGATCGTCGTGGAGAACATTCATCGTGATGCCTCGCCGTGCGATTGAGTGCTTTGGTCAATTTCTCTCGAAACCCCAAACCATCAAAGCTAACAAAGCACTCCTCATGAAAAACATCACAACATCACAACTTTCCACCGGGTTCAACAAGTCATCGCGCGCCCTACCAAGGGAAATACGTGAAAAGGGTTGCGCAAAATGGTTCTCAATAGGTTCCTGGATCTCGGACGGCAGGTCTTCTGGGAGCTCAGTGACAGGTGGGTTCTGCTCGGACATCTCCTCGGCCATGGTGGCCATGTCAACTTGTCGTTCTTGTCGATCTTGTCGCTGTGGACACTCCCTCTTCCAATGACCAGGCTTCTTGCAAATTCGACATGTGGAATTCACGATTCTCTCGGCCAGTGTCCGACGAGGGGGAAAACCACCATATCCCTTGCCTTCCCTTCTTTCCATTTCCACTGAACCCCTTTCCCTTCCCAGGGGCTCGGGAAGGCCAGAATCCTCGATGGCAAGCACGTTCTCGTAGACGGGCGCGCGCATCTTGATAACTCATGAAACAGCTGGACTCCTGGACAGGTCCTCTGACTCCTGTACTGCTTCGATGATCTGGTCCTCAAACTCCTGGATGAAAATAGCATCTTCATCACCTTGTTCCAACATCACCTGAAAGGCCTGTTCCTCATCTACACCTTCATCGATGGTGGGGAAGACTGGCTCGGTCTCATTCACGGTGTGCACATCATATGTTTTCCACTTTTTTCCACCACCACCTTGTAGATCTTGAAAGAACTTGGAACCCAAGAGTCTCATGGAATTCCGGGTGGCTTCATATGTCAGCTCTCCCTTGTTGTCCACAATGATCTTCTTCTGCTCATCACCTGTGAGCTGGGAGTGCCTGATCATGACGTAAGCTCTAATCTCCTCCAAAGTAACACCCTTGTCCTTTTGGAGGATCTCCTCGAAGCATGCCTCGTGGCGCGCAATGTAACTGTCATTGCTTTCGTCTGGCTTTTGAGTCGTAAGGAACAATGCCCTTTCGAACTTCACATAGCGGTCTTCATTCTGGAAGCGTCCCCACTGCATACCCAATGCTTTGAGGATCTCTTCGCAACCATCCTTGGATTTGAGGCGGCTTGGATCGATCTTTGAAACCTTCTTGAATGATACGGAATCACACTGTAAGGCAGCCCTCGGGGCCAGGTGAGAAATGTATTCTTCTGGCCAGATCGAATGCAGGAACATCAGCTTCTGTGCATTGTCCTCCAAGTCCGACTCTCCAGAAGTGAAGCTGGGTATCTGATTCCAAGGCAGATGACTGGTAGCAAAGGTCGATTTCCCTTCTCCCAAGCCACCATCTGTCGCCCCGCTAGAGGCTCCACCTTTGCCCCCACCCATGGCTCGCGAATCACGCCCCGTGATGCAAAATGAAAACCTGCCCCCTATGTTTTGGGGGCTCCGCGACCAATGCGAATATGCCACCCTGCACCTATGTAACCCTGTCCAACTCTTGTCCTTGGACTGGTGCCATGTAGGTCAATGCATTGAGCATTGGAACGGCCGGCGAACTGCACGTTTCACAGACATATACATATACATGCCCATAAAATTGTTTTGGCGCCCGTCCCGGGCCTTGGAAACTCGGCAAAAAACGAAAAGAGAAACGGAGAAAGCAACTAAAACTAGCAAAGAACCCTGCAAGCTACGTATAAGATTGTATAAGCCTTAATAAGCCTATCAGCGATTGACTTACTGATCCGTCGAGCTTCATCGCTCCTTCCATCTTTCTTGTTTCAACGTGTTGGACTCCATTACTATTGTCTGGTTGCCACGGGTGTTCAGTGCCTCTAAGAAGTCCGCAACTGCTGTGGTCCGTGACAAATCTGGAATCTCCTGACATGTGGGCAATTCAATCTCCAGGTTGCCCTTCCCCACCCACACACTTGTGAAACCTAGTCACGAGTACAGGAAGCTTTCTGCAAATTGAACGAGCTGCGACATGCCGTGCTTGAAGGTTCTTGACGCATCCTCCCCACTCTCTGTCATCTGAAATGCAATAAGCGCTGCAAGAGCCAATTTGGCCGCTTTCTGTCGCACTTGGCCTCACAAAGTGACAACATGTGTTACAACACCATCAGCCTCTGTATGTCTATGGTGTCCTCAAAGTGCAAAGATGTGTCTCTTCGAGTCTCTCATCGTTCTCGTTTCTTCGAGTCTTTTCGCTTTGTGGCGCACTCTTCGTGGCCACACCGACGCCCCAAAGGCGTCTTGGTGGCAAAGTAGCTACACACAAGCATTCCTGGCAACAGAACCCCTGTTGGTCGCGCATTGTTAGGAACGTGGAGTGAAACCAGTGGCTACCTCTTTATCATATCTCCTGGCCCTGATCTGCCTGAAGACAATACAGTATCTGATGTCACCACTGAGATCTCTCTCTACGCACCTGTCCTCCTCATCTGACAGGTTTTTTATTTCTTCTCCAACCTTCCACGATTGAAAGAATGAACACTTTGGGTTCTAAGCATCTCCTGTCTGTCATTCTGATGTCAATCAATGCCAAAGGACCAACTTGGCCTGAGGAAATTTCTGCCAGTTGGGGTCGTCGTGGCAAACGATCTCATCTGACAGGTCACCAAGCCTCGGAGAGACCAAAACACAGAGCGGAAACCTGGCATCTTTCAAGTCCGTCTAGAGATGCATCTGTAAAGTTCATCCATTTTCTCAGCATCGGCATCGCAGTCAAAGCTTTGTCTGCTTGATTGTACATTCCTCTCCTGTAGACAATGCGCAACAAAACAATTTTCCAACCTAAAGACAATGGCGATGGCCTCCAACCTACTAGACTATAGGCCTCCAACCTAATAGCGATGGCCTCCAACCTAATAGCGATGGCCT